TTTTTTTTTTTTTTTTTTTTTTTTTTTTTTGAAAGTTTTGAGATATATTGCAAATGAATAATGGGACGAGGCCGGGGACCTCACACTTCAACCCGGAGTTATCCTGGCAGCATCAGCCAGTTTTGCTTACGAGCCCGGCTTGGTGGACCCATCGTCAGCTCCAAATCTCTCAACTCTACTGCTGGAAAACGGGTTCAGCGTCCCCTAGAAAATTTCATATAACTTTCCAAAAAATAAAACTTGAAGCTCCAAATTAACGGCGTTTGCCCTTGCAGTCAGAATGTAACTACCAAGGTAAGCTCCCTGTCATATCCAACAAGCTCTGAAATCGTACTCCGCTTTATGCTGGTTAGTATATTCTACTGACTGCAGCACGCGGTGACCCTTGTTCCATCCAAAACGAGGGGGGAGAAGAAAACTTTCTTTTTACAATTTATGCCTATCTTCCCCTTGTGATTCTTGCATGACTCAGTGGGCCACTGAAGACCCTTTATTACTCCCTTTACCCTTTGACATTCATGATTCCATAATTGCCCAAGTGGATCTAAAACGGTCCAGCAGACGGTCCAACAGCCAGGATCAGAGCGCTAGCCGCACCCAGTCCTGCTAGCAGTCTTTGTCCTAGTTAAGTAAGCCACTTTGCTACACTCAAATTACCATCTGGGCTGACTGATGCTAGGAAGTTTTTCATTGTCCATTTTTTACGAAACCACAGGATGCCTCATCCTGCTCTCTACTTGGATCTCCTCCATTCTACTAGGATAATCAATCTCAGAGAGTTTTTAATTATTCCTCTCTGTTGATGGAGGGACCATTTGTCACCATGAAACACCATGGCATTTCGTGTTTTCCAAATAGTTTCCAAGATTATTCCATTGCATAACATGGCAACATATCCCCAAGCATCTCCCCATTTTGCATTAGGGGGGAGGGTGGCGGACAATATCCAGTCATTCGTCCATTCCCACTCAGAACTTCCCCCTTCCTCCCATTGTAGTTTCCACCATCTCCATACTTCCTCAGCTAGTGGGCAAAGTAGCCAGATATGTTTCGTTGTTTTCCAGCCCCAGCTACAGCGCTGACACGTCTGATTGAGATTCATTCCTCTCTGGTTAAGCCAAACCGCCGAGGGGATCACATCTAGAGACTGAGCCCACATCAAACTCGCTTGCTTCTGTGAGGGCATCCTCTTCAACAACTGTCATTGAACTTTGAAATCTGGTGTAGGCTTCGTTTGGCCATACTTCTTTTGATTTCTCTGAGTTGCCACCTCTTGCAGCTGTTGCTTCTTTCGTCTACACTGCAGAACTCCGACTTTAGGACAATACTGAATAAGCAGTTTTACCTTTCCATTGATATTCCTCCACCCATACTGCAGTGGCTCAACTTTATATTCTTCTGCAAGTCCCTCCAACAGGACCACCTGACTGACTTTGTGCTCTCGGTGTTCCCAGACCCTCACTTCTACCAAATCTACCGTGGAGTCTAAGCCGATCTCAATCTCTCTCTTAAGCTCAAAACCTCCCTTGACTGGTCCGCCTATTTTCCATTGTTCTAGTTTCATCCCTTGTGGCAGATCTGGGCCTATCACTCTCAGTATACAACGAGGGTTGTTAGGGTGTTTCACCCAAGTATCCTTACTGTGTTCTGTAGAGTCTTAAATATCTTTTCCCAGTGAGGGGGTATTGCAGCCAACAGGGTCGTATAGTGGTCCTCCATTTTGTGCAATCTTGGCAGTTTTTTTCTCATTTCCTCCACAGAGGACCAGCATTGCTTTTCTCCATCCCAGATGTGTTTGACTAAGTAGACCCCTTTTTAAATCCATGCTCGTGCAAAATTCTCTGTCTTCTGGCCAGACTCAAAAGGTTGCCCAGTCCCTTGTTTTATCAAAACATTATCGAACAGGCTCTGGTTACCGACCTCTACTTTGGTTTGCGGATCCCTCAGCTTTACTAGCTTGACTTTTCACCATGCCGCTAAGATTCCTGACCATACCCTAGAGGTGGTTCTTCTATTGGAGAAGTTTGTTAATAAAATGCAGGCCCACACGTTAACCCCATTTGCAAGTGACCAATCCCTTCTCAAAATGTATTCTGCAAATAGACCCCACAACTTTTGATCTTTCTGAAAGCATGCCTTTATGATCCATTTGATTAGCAAACCCACATTCTGATCTCGTGGATCTAACACTCCTAACCCCCCTTGATCTCTTGGCTGGCACACCATATCCAATGCAACCTTGTGGATGAACCCCTGTTCTTCCGAAGCTGTGGGCTTCCACAAATATTGTGCCGCCACTCTTTTAACTTGAGCATAAGCCTTGTCTCCCAGAAAGTGGACAGTAAGCGAAAACCACATAATTGAGAAGGTTGCAGATGTAAGCACCAAGGCCCTCCCAAAAATCGACAATTTGTGACTTCTTTTTCAGCCCAGTATCCTTGCACAAACTTTCTCTTTTATGATCTTGTCTTGGGTTGTGGAACAATTTGAGAGCAACGCCTGGACCCCCAGCAACCGCTCTGAGCTCTCAGGCGGTACTTCTCTGAGGCCCTAATTTACACATAAGATAAAAGGGGAGGGAAGTAGATAAGCAGACTTATCCCAGTTTATAGATGCCTCAGATAACACACAATATTCATCTAATACGATTTCAAGTTTCGTGAACGAAGTTTGGGTATTCTCGCAGGCTAGTGTAAGGTCGTCTGCTATCGACCCTCCCTTCCAATGAATGTTGGGGGGGAGCTCAAGACCTCTTATATTAGTATTATATCTTATATTATCCAACAATACCTCCAACTGAAGGACGGACAAAAGGGGTGCCAAGGGGCAGCCCTAACGTAAAGAGCGAGTAAGTTTAAAAGCCTCAGACAATCTACCATTTACTAGGACTACCAACGAGGTGTCTGAGTACATTGCTTTGATATTTTGCAGAAATTGAGGTCCAAAGCCCATGTGGTTTAAAATTGTAAACACAAAGGGTCAACCCACCTTGTCATATGCCTTCTCCATATCAAGGAGAAAGACTGTTATTTCTTTCTTTTCTGATGCGATAATCTCCAATGCTTGAAGCGTGCTCATAATATTGTCAAAAATAGTACGGCCTTTGACAAAGGCACCTTGTTCCTGGCCCACCAAACTCGGTAGTATCTCTGTCAATCTGATGGTCTGTGCTTTAGCAAGAATTTTGTAGGCTACGTTCAACACCGAGATCAGTCTGTAGTTCTTTACCTCCAACTTACTCCTTTTTTTGTAAAGCAGGGAGATATATCCTTTCAAAAATCCTGTCGGGAGTGAACCCACCATTCTTATGTTGTTGTAGACTTTAGTTAGGAAAGCGCCAAAGACATCCCAGCATTCCACATATAACTCTACTGGGAGGCCGTCCAAGCCGGGACATTTTCCTTGCGCCATCTGTTTGGCCGCCTTACCTAGTTCTTCCACTGTAAATGGTTCCTCTAAAGCTTTCCTCATTCCTGATGAGAGTTTGATCCTTGATCTATCCCAAAAGGAGGAGTTCACAGAGAGATCCGTGTCACACGAATCAAACGGTCTTCGTGTTGTTACTATATCGCTGAAATAATCAAAGGCAAAGGAGCACATGATTGTTGTATCTGACATCGTGATGGGGTTTATCGCAAACGGGTGGGCAAACTCCTTGATTAGCGATTTAGACTGCCTGAGGATTAGGGATCGAAATTATATTTTAGTCATCCTCTCGTACCCAATAATCCCCCTCAGTTTCAACCACTCCAACCACTCGGCCTGTTTTCTAACTTCGAGTTTTTCTAATTTCATTACTGCTTTACTTATTTTTTCCGACCAGAAGTAATCTGAGAAGGGGTCTCCACCCATACTCTCTTCTGCTTGGGAGATCACTCTTGTTAGTTGTTTCTCTTCCCACTGGCGTGCTGCAACCTTCATTCTTGAGAAGTTGATTAACGTGGATCTGATTATATTAATCCCTACTTCGGCCCATTCTCACTGGTCTTCAAAGAGGTCTGTAGCGTTTTCCTAATTTTTCATTTGTTCTCTTATCCACTCTTTGATCCCCTCAACCTTCAGCAGATTCACATTCAGTCGAAAAGGGGGTCTTTCTTTTTGAACTGTCTCAACTGCTATGACGTCCATGAGGACTGGATAATGGTCTGAGAGCGACGCAAATTGAACATCTGACCAGCAACACCTGTCCCAAGGAGCCCCTCTTGCTAGGATCAAATCCAACCGGCTTCGAGGGGGCCTTGTTCTTTTATATGGTCTTGGGCCATACCAAGAAAACCCGTTCGCCTCTGGGTTCAGAGTCCGGAAAACATCGTTGAGCACCTGAGAATTCATGAGCTCGACTAACATGTCTGCGTCCGCTCTGGCTTGGTGCCTCGTGAGAGAGTCCAGACCCTGTATTAGGATAGTTAGGTAAATTCGCTAGAAAATTCACCCTCTGATTTAATTCCACAGGGGCGTAGACTGACATTACAACCCACTCCTCCTCCCCAAGTTGAAACTTCAACCAAGCTACACATCCATCTGTATCTGTAAAAGAGTTTAATTCTATAATATTAAGATTCTTATCTACTAATATTGCCACTCCACCGCAGGTTCCAACCGTTGGGGACCATACCTGTGGCTCATCCCAAAATGCGGCTGCTTCTCTGATTTTTTCGTCATTTAGCTTAGTTTCCTGTAGTCCAATTATTTGGACATTTTTCCGGTGTATCCATGTCCTAAGCCTTGATCTTTTGTGTCTATTTGTGGTTTCCCCTAAGCCACATACATTCCATGAGACTATACGGAGTTTAGGTGGAAGGACCATCAGGTCTGCAACCACCGTTTAGTTGGATCCAGCTTGTGAAGGGGTGGGGATTTCCTACTGATCTGCCAGTATTCGTATTTCGGGCTGCAACCAACATATTGTTGATGTTGTCATTTGTCAGCTTGTCGTGCATACCGTTCTGCTTAGCCCAATCAGAAATCAGAGAACCTTGTCTGACGGCAATGGGAAAGACTCAGCTCTGCTTGTTTGATTGGTAACTAACTCCTGTAGAGGAAACCAATGCACACGTAATTAACACCATTTCTCAAAGGAGTCCGTGATTGTCTTGAGACCCAGTAATATGAAGTAAAATATTACTGGGGGACCCTTGTCCGCTAAGCTCAGGAAACGACTCGGCTTTAGGATAGGCAGGGAGATCACCGATCCGAAGTAAAATA